GGTCGGCTTGGAGTGTTGGCAAGGGTGCCTCACGAGTAGGAGATATGTTAAAGGGGGTGTAGTGGTCGGGTCTGGGAGGACCTGAGTTAATTGGGAAATCGGAGTATGCAGTGCGAGTAAGTTGTTCGGTAGCGTATACTGCAGTAGGCTTCGAGGACGAAGCCTAATGTAAGTAGGGGAGAGTTGTAACATCCCAAATTTCAGAAATATGATGTAAGGGCTTAAAGTGTACATTGAAGAAGCTACTCGAAATGTAGGTGCGAGTACTCGTCGAGTCGGATCGGGTTTTGGTCGCAAATTAAGTGACCAACTCGCCGAGTCTGAAGCTGGACTCGACGAGTTGGTGCTGGGAAGAGAAAACCCTAATCTCAGGGCTTGCACCCTATTTAAAGGACCTTAAGTCCTCACCTCAGCCTCTTTGTCACCCCTTAAGAGTCAGAAAACCCTAGAATCGTGTGTGAGCCTATGGAGTGGACTTGGAAGCTTTGGAAGGAGATTCTAGCATAGAAGGCTTGTAAATCAAAGTGTAGAGCATCAACGGATTTGCGTAGATCCAGAATCTACTTCAGCTTGGGCACATTTTAGAGGTAACAAGCTGTTACCTTGACTTTATTGCATTTATATCTATTCTAGAATGATATTTGGGGCCATTTTGGCATGGTAAGGATCTAATTCGGGTTAGGGGTCTAGATCTGAGGTTGCTACTTCAGATCTAGACTTGTTTTGGTCCAGAACCTCACAAAGTATCAGCCCTTGGCTTGTTGGTGAAGCATCATTGTCTTAAACCTTAGCCCTAGAGTGATTTGGGCTTATAACACCTTGTATTCACGTAAAGTTTGCAACTTTACGTGAGAGTCATGACCTAGAAGTGTGGATCTACAGTTTGGAGCCCCTGCATGACTCGAAAAGTCTCTGCATGAATAAAGGACTGAAGAGACTCGGCGAGTCTGTTCTTGGACTCGACGAGTCTGTTGAAGATAGGTATGAACTCGACGAGTTGGAGGAACAACTCGGCGAGTCTGTTGAAGATTGTCGTGGACTCGGCGAGTCTGTTCTTGGACTCTGCGAGTCAGAACGCAAAACCCCAACCTCTTCTGGTTAAGACTCAGATCAGTGAGTTGAGTGGTGACTCAGTGAGTTGGTCATGATAGGACTCAGAGATCGTTAAACTCGACGAGTCATGGAGTGACTTGGCGCGTCGAGTTGTGATATAAGAGTTTTCTGAAGTTGGGAACTCGGCGAGTCGACGGGTTGACTCGGCGAGTAGAGTCAATCAGGAAGGTTGACTTTGGCTAGGACTTTGACTTTGACCTGTTTGACCTTCAGGGGTGTTATGGTATTTTGGATATTTATGTCATGGTTCATTGATGGCATCAGGTGTTGGAGTTTGGAGCAGTGCTTCGGGCCAGTGTTCTCGTGTTTCGGTTCGGCAGTTGCAAGGTGAGTTATCCTCATTATATCAACAGGGTCTACGGCACCAAGGCCGACCCTTTATCGAATTTGTATTCGGGTATTCGCATGATATACTTATGGGTTTGTTAGATCTGCGTCCTGGTAGTTAGGACGGTGTTGTGTTAGTGACCGGTTAGGTCGGTATCCTGGTTAGGATGTTGCTATGCTATTATGATTATGTTAGATCGGTATCCTGGTATATAGGATGATGTTATGCTAGTGACCGGTTAGGTCAGTACCTTGTTTAGGATGTTGCTATGCTATTATGATATGTTAGATTGGTATCCTGGTATATAGGATGATGCTATGTTAGTGAACTGGTTAGGTCGGTATCCTGGTTATAGGATGTTGCTATGATTGATGATCTGTTAGATCGGTATGACTGTTATATATATGCCAATATATGTTATTTATGTGCACATGGTTATTGTTGATGGGTGGGTTGAGGCGGGGTCCTGCTTCGTGCGGTTGAGGCCAACATACCCGACGAGCGGCCCGGATAGACTGTGAACCTGCATGACGGTCCAGTCATACCGAAGGCTCGAGATAGATCCAGGTAGACTGTAGGCCTTGCAAGGCGGTCCAGTCAAGCTGTGGGTTCAGTATGCATGTTGTTCTGTAATCGTTGATATGATATGATTATGGTTATATGAGGTTGGTATTTTGGGGGCAACTCACTAAACTTTCGGGCTTACAGTTTCAGTTTATTGTTTCAGGTTCAGCGGATGGCCGCGGGGAGGCGAAGGCGTGACCGACACTTCCTCGATTGATGATTATGATTTCTGGGAACTCTGATGTATAAATTATTTTGAAAACAACTTGTAATAACTGAATGGTTTCAAATGATTTAAAAAGTTTTAAATTGGCTCGAATTTTATAGGTGTGACATGAAGAAGGTGATGAAACTGAAGTTCAAACAAATACTTCTAATGAAGCTTAGCACACAAATTATGAGGATCGGCCATTGAGTGTTAACTTTAGATTAACCCACATTTATTATGAGATTTCTCTAAATTTTCGAAAAGAAGATTTGTGAGTTTGTGGCATTTATTTAATCTGAACAAATAAGAAAATTACAAGTGAAAAACAATAAATTCTAAAAAGCTGAGAAAATGTCGTGTCCAAATCTAGGAGAACATGACATGTGCCAGAAAATGACTTTGATTTGTTAGGATAAGATCATATCATATGGTATTAATGACGGTTACAAAAACTCAAAACAAACCTAAAAATTACAATCATTACATATCAGATTAAACGCACAGTACATTGATATTAACCGACTATGTTCATAAGCAAATACAAAGTACTTTGTCATAGGAATTCGATTTCTTACTATTAGGACATATTAAAATGAAGAAAAAAAATAATAATTAAGTACAATGTTATTTGTTATATGATTGGAGAGAAATAACTTAATGAAAGTTCGATGCTATTCCTTGATATGACTACAGATACAAAAACAAACAAAAATTATGATATTTGGGTTATGAATGCATGTACACACAAATTCACAAATATGGTCAAAATGACAATTTTAAGGGATAAATTATACATCATATTTTTGTTTCAATGGTCCAAATTTCGAACAATGAAAAAACCAGTATTAAATTAACCAAACTGGAAAAAATGGCAAAATTGTCATTGTATATAAAATAATAAAAAATTATAGTTTATCCAACGATACTTAAAATTTGTTACTAATTGTACAGTTTAAAAAATAAAAGAAAATTATAAACAATTAGAATGTCATTTGTTGTATGATTGTAGAAAAAAAAAATTAATGAAAGTTTTTTGCTATTCGTTGATATTACTATAGATACCAAAACAATAAATTGATCAAATATGACAAAAAAAGGCATAATAGTCATATTAACTAAAAAAACATTAAAATGTATGAAAAAACATGACACAATATCAGAAAATGTTTGTTGCAAACAGAGTATGAACAAACTAATTTTGATATTTCTCGTAGAACTTCGTTTTCCAAAACTATAGTATTCATTTTAAGCAGATTTCGTTGGAATACAGTTTGAACTTGGTGCAAGCGACTACTAGTTAATAAATAAAGGATGTTGTCTGGTCGTGTAGGAGTGACAAAGCCCCATGCCCGGATGGTTTCAATTTGCATTTATTAAAAGATATTGGTTTTTTCTTGAAAATAATATTTGAAAATAATATTACATAGGTTGTAAAAGAGATTAACTTGTACAACTAAACTAATATTCCCCCATGTTGCCGTCCTATTAGTCTTATTGGGGTGCAATATAAAATTATTGTAAAGGTTCTGGAAAACTGTCTAGCATAAGTAGTGGATAATATTGGCAACATTGAATAGTCTCTTTTTATAAAAGACAAACAAATTTTAGACAAGCCAACGAGATTGTTATTCCTTGAATTTACTGGTTGAAAAATCCAGTAAATGCCAATCTATGTTGGCCAAATGCCCTTTGGTATAAATTATGTATTGTTAGAAATTTAGGGTAATAGAATGTTTGGATCAATGAGAATTGTGAAACACTTTTAGATTAAAGCATTTCGAAGGTACACTCGATAATCTCTAATCGGATAAAACTCAATGTTCTTAAAAGAGAGAATGCAGAAGATGATATGATAATGTGTCTACCAAACTGATTTCGAAAATGATCATTTAACAGAAAACTAACTTCATGTCTTAAAACTACCATATGACAGTTACAGGAATATTGTAACTTCCTGTCCAAAACCTATCACATAAACTGTCATAAACAATCATAAACTAACTTAAAATCGGGTCTAGAACTTGGATCACAAAATCTAGTTTATTTTCCAAAATTCGGATTTCTGATGCATTTTTAACAAAACAACTTAACTAAAATTCCGGTCTAGAACTTGGATCATAAGTTAGCCAGAGGCTGCCGCCCCTTAGACCCCACTCCCAAGGGCGCTGCCCCCGGTTCCCCATCAATTCAGAGGCTTCGCCCATAAATAGCAGTATACTTTCAACTAAGACAAACTTAAACAAATGTGCACTTTGCACCACCCTTGTTTAATATTTATCAAAATAGCATTGATCAACAAATTAATCTCATTACACTTGAATAATATTAGTGATACAAAATCACCAACATATATACTATTTATTTATTTTAATTTTGGTCCAAATATGCTGATGTATATAGAAATAAATAATTAACTATAACTTGTGTCACCAATTTATAGATAAGTCGTTGAATTTTCCTTTTATAGAGACATTCTAAGGTTTTTTGAGTTTTTGAGTTGTCAAGTTGATAATAATGTAATATGTGAAGAGAACAAAAATAAGTTACAAAAAAGTCTCCCGTTATGGATGACCTAATGTAAATCAAATAACCTTTTGTTTAATTACAACTAAATTAAACATTCATACAAAATTAAATTTTATGTAAAAACCTAAAATTTAATAAAAAGTAAAAAATAATTAAGAGAGGTAATATATCAACATCAACAAATCTCACACGAAATCAATTCAACTTTGCTTATTCATCTATATGCTTTGATTAATCAAAATTTTTTATTTTTATTTGCATTCAATATTTCGATGGTGGCAGCCAGTGTTTAGTAGGCGGTGGTGGAGGAGGTGGTGGTGAACAATCAAGACAATTCACCGGACGAGAATAAAATGCCTTACACTCGGCCACCTGCCGCTGTGCGGGCCTCTCCGGGATACAATTTTGTCGATCATCCCTGTCGGCCAGCTTGAGACAACTCTTGGGCGCGCCGCAAAAATAGTTATCTGAGTACGTGAAATTCTCCAGTCTTGGCAACGAGCAAATACTAGACGGAATCTCGCCGGAGAACTTGTTGTGAGCCACATTTAACTGCTCCAGACTCTTCATTTCTCCTATACTTTCCGGCAACATCCCCACCAGTGAATTATAACTCACATCAAAAACCGTCAACTTCTTCAACGACCCAATATCCGGAGTTAAACACCCACTTAAACCCACGTTCATCAGAATAATCTCGTCCAAAGTTCCCCCCATATTCTTTATACTCGACGGCAAACTCCCTTTGATGTTGTTATTAGCAAAAACCACCACCGAAACAGGAGAATTCCCAAGGTTTTTAGGAAAACTCGTGTCAAATAAGTTGTTATTGATGAAAATGGCGTCGAGTTTAAGGTCATACAATTTGGAAGGAACGTCGCCTTTAAACTGGTTAAACCGAATGTCAAGAAATTTGAGAGAAGAAAGAGAAAGCACCACTGATGGGAAATTACCCGAAAAGCGATTGTTACTGATGTCAAGCTCGTAAAGAAGACCTAGTTTGTTAAAAGATTTTGGCACTGTTCCACAAAACTTGTTAGAATTGATGTGGAACAATGCGAGATCTGTCAGCAAACCTAGGTCTTCAGGGAGAGACCCAGAGATATTTGCATGGTTGAGGTCGATACCAGCGACCGTGGTCACATGTGGGTCGTCTAAAGAAGGCGCACAGAAGACCCCGGTATAGTTACACACATTATAGCCATACCAATTTGATGTGAAGCCTTGAGGGTCGGAGTTTATCGAATGTTTCCATGCTTGGAGGGCAAAATAGGCTTTTTGGAGCCTAGGATTTGGGGCAGATGTGGCTTGGTGAGAAAGGGTTGTGTAGAAAGAGAGAAGAATGAGAAGAACATATTTGACATGTGAGGGTAGTATGGTCATTTTTGGAAATAGATTTGGTGTGTTTAAAGAGAAATGAAAGCATGGGTGTTGTATTTAAATGGGATTTGGGATTGGGTCGATGGTGGTTGGGACATCGCTAGTGACATTCTTATACACAAGGATGCTTCACGAGTTTAGTTTAAAAGCCGTAGTTTATCTAATAAAATATTAATGTACAAGTGAATATGTCATGGTAATTCGGAAGAAAACGATAAACTTTATATTTATAGTGCATTTTATTATTTCCAAACATACAACATTAAAATAAAGAACTATGAAATGTCAAACGTATAAATTCTTGACCGATTAAACTTAAATCTAAACATATCTCGAGTGCACATATGATATTCCGATACTCTCATTTGAATACTAGTGTTATTCCTAATAAAGGATATTTTTGTCCATAAAATATATACTTGTTTTATTAACTTATTTATTTATTTTTGTTATTATACTTTATACAATCAAATAAACCTTAATTACTAGTGAAATTCAAAAATAATAGAAGATAAAGACGAGTACAAGATGTAAATGTTTTGACTTTTATTTGAATCAAAGAGTTGGAAAGCATCTTTAGGCCAAGTCGTAACAACATATGAAGTCTTTTTGTCACTTATGAGAGGAGAATAACACATAATATATGAGTATAACACATAATATATGAGTAAAATAATGAGTGGTTACAAGAACCGAGTTGGTAAAAATAAAATGTTTGGTCAATGTTTTAAAAAGTATTCATAATGCCGTTCTTTTAATGGTGCATTTCATAATTTATTTGACATTTTCAGAGATTAGTTTTCTAACCCATCAAAGATCAAACATTATTCATGCAGTTGGTAATTTAAAAATGTATTAAAGTTCAATTGATGAGGTTAACAATGGAATGGGCAATGTGGTATTGGAACAAATGGATCATCTGTTTGTTAGATGCAAGATGATCACTAAAACTTGGATTGCAGTTTTTAAATGGTTAGATATCCAAGTTAGTTCGTTTTCTAGCATTAACACTTTATGTGATCAAGTGGATAGTCTTCGAGGCAGCGCTAATAAGAAGAGTGTAATAATGAGGTGATTTGCATTACATTATGGTATTTATAGAGGTATCGTAATGATAAGGTTTTTTAAGGTGGTAACATGAGAAATGACATAATTTTTATTCAATTAGAGAGTTTTCTTTCTTTTGGGTTAGTAATAGACGTAAAAATGTACTTTTAGTTAGAATTGCTAGATGCAATTGCCTTTAAACAATTTGTAATGGTTTTTTTTGCTCTCCAGCTTCGTTGCTAGAGTGTCTGTTCTAATATATTGTTGGCTGCTTCAAAAAAATGTTTAATCATTATTTACGATTAACTTAATAGAATAAAACCCATAAAGAAAAGTCTAATTTGGTTTTTCATTATTTATTTTTGTAAAGTAATCTTGGGTAATTAATTAATAAAAACAACAAGTTGAGAATAAAATATTTATTATGTGTTGGGTTGGAAAATATGAATGAACCAACTTTCTCAACAAATCAAGTGATCATAATTGTCAATTCCTTTCCTTCTAAGAAGCTCGCTATGCATGCATTGACAAAGTAAATGCAAGTTTCCAAAAGCATAATATTTGTTCATATTCCTTTTGTTATAAAGGAAACCCAATTTTTTCAATATTTACAGAAGTCAATCAAGTAAATTTCATATAATTACCTGTTATATTGTTTAACTTATAATAGATGTTTTAATTTATAATTAATATAAAAATAGAAATAATGTTATAATTTACCAAATAACATCATTATGGTTAAATTTTTTAGAAGTATTTATTATTGAAGCAAATTTTGAGTCAACTATTTATGCATGATTTAGACTAAAAATTAACTAGACGTATACATAGCCTTCAATCCTTGATTAAGTCAAGGGCCCCTCAACACAACTTGCATAAAAATTAAACCAATGAAAATAATTTATTCAATGAATTAGTCCTTGAGGAAGTAGACTTTAGATGAGATTTGTGATAGTATTCATTAATAATCCAAATTGTATTTAAATGTATGAATTTTAAATGTCAAAATAGTATGTTTAAAACAATTCTAATAGGTACTACAAATGATAACAGCTCGAGATGAATGATGTGAGGGGGTGGGTGTACTTTGAAGAATTACAATGAAAATATTCATTAATTATAGCATCAAGCCATCGGTTCTTCGAATTACCACATTGTTATTTTTATGTGAATAAATTCATTATGGTTTATAAATAATGTTTACAAACTCAAAATTCAACTCATTTTCACATTACTCAAAAATTCAAAACACTCCATACAAACCACAATATCTCATGTGATGCTCTCTTCAAACAAAATCTATGGCTTTCAGATTATTTGTTTTTAATCTTTCTTTCCTGGATTTTCATGCAGTAGCATTAGCAGGAGGAAGATTAGTTTCAATATTTGAAGGCATCAATATATTGAAACCATCACCAGCTGTAGAAATCAACATTCCTGGAATCTGTGTATGCCAATGAAGTTCTTTCAAGTCTTTCTGACCCTGTTCACCAAAAAAGTCAACAAAAGTCAAAACATTTTCCCATCACAGACAAATCAACATTCAAAATTGCAACTTACCTGATGAACAAAAAGAAGCTGTGGAGGCAAATCTGTGGGCGCGTGTACTTCCTCTTGTGTTTTGGCTTTAAACTCAGCTTCCTCTTCTTCATCTCGCTCTAAAGAAAGGTCCCATATTCTGACAGTTTCACAAAAGATGAGGGTGTGATTTTGTAAAACTAATAAAGATGAAAATTTCTTACGTGAGTTGATTATCTGATGATGATACTGCCAATGTAGATGCTTCATGTGGACTCCACTCAATAGATGTAATCGGATGTTTGTGGTACTCAAAATGTGCCACTACAGAATCACCTTCCTGAAATAAACAAATAAAAAAAAATGTTATTTTTCCATAGTTTTAAATTTTAATACGATAAATAAAAACAAACCTTGAGCAATCTAAGATCGCGAATAGAAAATGTCCCATCATCACTACCAGATGCCAACATACAACTAGCAAGCCTAATTTTAAAAAAAAAAAAAAAACAAATTAGTAACAAAATTATTACGTGTATTAATTAAAAAATAAATAAAGGTAGAAACCTGTTCCATGAAATGACATTAACATCTGTATTGTGTGCTTTAAAGGAAGCTGCTGGTGATTTCCCTAATCGGGTATCCCATATTGCTATTGTTTTATCCACAGAACACGAAGCAAACACATATGGCTCTGTTGGGCTCCACTGCATCAATAAAAGTTTTATAAAAAAGAGACTAAAAAGTAAAAACGACCTTTTTTCTTTAACGTATTTAGCCTTAATGGGCAAAAGGGTAATTATAAATTACCTGCAAATCTTCAACACTACCAGTGTGTCCAACAAATGGTTTACTATCAACATTCCATGTTGAGTCAGATGAAGGCTCCCATAAGTGGATGCAATTCTTGCAGTCCCCTTTTTAAAAAATGGCAAAATCAAATTATGAGTTTTTTAGTTTTTATATCGCATAAATAAAATACTGTAATTCGTACCAGATACAAGCCTGCCAGGGACAAGGGCACTCCAGTCAATTGCATAGCCTTCATCTTTGTGACCAGTAAACTTTACTAAAGGAGTTTGATTAGAAACTGTTGAAGCGTCCTTGCTAATATTACTTTCAGCTTCTGCCAAAGCATTTAAATGAGAGGCAAAATCCCATATCTGCATCACATCATCATTCATGTAAATTTTACAAGTATACTGTTGCTGATACTGTTACTGATTATACCTGCACGTGACCGGTATCTCCCCAAGTTGCACAAATATGGGGTTTTTGTGTCATTGCACGAATTCTATTCACACAACCTTCATGAAAGACTTTTCGGACCTGTAGATTTAAATATAGAATGATTAAAATAGTAATGATCAAAGATGTAAAAAGTTAATGGCTATGTGTTACCTGAAAGACAGGAGCTTTTGGTCCTTCATTTTCCATTTCATCTTCATCACTATCACTACTATCACTTTCCATGTCTGTGTCAGCATTGGATGTTTTTGTTGGTACTAGTTCCCTTCTTTTTCCAGAAATGTTTGATATTTTAAATATTCCAATTGAATTGGGAGCATTATTTGCCTAGAAGAATAAGAATAACATATCATAAATGATAAATTCAAAGGGGAAAGCAATCATGGAGTAAGATATTGAAGGAAGCAAATGAGCAAACTGAATTTAATTTGTAACATGTTTTATAACCTGAGTTCCAGTGACGCAATATATAGTGTGTGGAAATTCTGTCCGAACTAGTCCTAGTGAATCCCGCACAACGTCAAAGCTACAACACATTAAACAAAGTTCAATTACATAACAAAAACCTTCTTATACAGAAAAAAAGGGTAAAAAAAATAGAATGAATGAATGAATGTCAATTTTGTAGTAAACAAACCTTAAGCAGGGCCAGCCAATGTGGAAGGCATGAAGAGAATTATAAGCTGAAGGATCACACTGAAGCTCTTCGCCTTCCTCTAAAGCATCAACACCGGGTTGCCACACCTTCGCTGGCATTGAAGGAACTAAATTCGATGAGGATGACCCATCTTCTTTCTTTGAACCCTGGTTACATAATCAATCGTATATCCACAACCCATGTTTATTGAAGACAAACAGAATCAAGATGAATGAATCATTTGACAATCCGAAAAAAAAAAAAAAAAAAGCGTAAACCAACAATTGAAATTTTAAATTGATGGGGAATTACTACCTTGCTCTTCCGCTTAGCTTTCTTTGGGTTTTTCAAGCTTCGAACCATTTTTGCACTAGAATGATACGGAGAAAGAGAAGAACAGAGTGCGCTGGCAAAGGGTTTTGGGAAGTTAGGGTTTTATACAGCGTTGTTCTAGGTTCCCCCACCTTTTTATGTGATGAAGTGTAATTTTCCAGAAAAAAATAATTATAAACGACATGGAATAACATAAAAAGAAATAGTTTTTTTTTTTTTT